TTAAATAAAATCCTAAAGTTCACTTGACACAAAAACTTGAACCTTTGGAACTCGACATAAATGTTTATGTTCAGTCAACAATTTGAGTTTTCCAGCGTTAACTATTACTTTAGAAGTGACGAGGCTCCGTGGTTACGTTGTACACTAAGCAGTAGTGGTAGAGAAAGTACTCGTTCACGTTTTACCTGAGTTAAAGTTAAAGTACATAGACAAAGTGTACTCAAGTAACAATAACTTTTCTAATTGGGTGAAAGTACGCGCTTGCTTTTAAAATCCTAAGTAATAATAAGTAATCTGTTCCCTAAAGTAAGTGAGTCGACTGCGGATTCCGTTCAATACAAGAACAAAGACTTGACAGCTTCTGTGAGGCTTTATGCTAATGCTAGCACCCCACCATGCTAACAGTGAATATGCTAACAAGATGCTAAGCAGGTATAACATGTGTTACCATGTTTAATGTAGCATGTTAGCATGCTAACGATGGCTGTTTAGCACTGAAGATAACAGGCTGATGGGAATGTTGTTAGTTTTGCATCTAAACCAAAATAAAGGACACGATGACGGCGTGGGGGGAAAGTGGCAGGCTCACCAAGGTTTTCCAGGTTTGTGTTAAAAGCTCAAACGGCTAAAAACAAAGATCCTCATTAAAATGTTGACGTGTTTAAAGATGTTTCTAAGGTGTGTAAGACACGTGTGTGGATTTAATCACGTGACGACGCGTCCTGTGGTTCCGCCTCCTTCACTCTGACGCAGTTCACTGAGGAGAAACTGGGTCAGGCTGAGAGAACCGAGCTGGACCAGCACCTGGAGAACCTCATCACTCGAGCTGACGGAACCAAGAACTGGACCGAGAAGATCCTGAGGCAAACTGAGGTGCTGCTGCAGCCCAACCCAAGTAAGTCGGGAGGGGGAGCGGGTCGTCCACTCATCGTCAGGTCGCTGGTTCGATCCCCAGCTCCACACACCCACACGTTGTTGTGTTATTACTGTTTGGAGGGAATAGGCCCAGATCCAACAGATGACATCACTTCCTGTTGAATAAGTTATATAACGATGAACACATATTGTGGTTTCATGTAAAGTGTTTGTATTTTAATATGTTTGTGTCCATGATGGTTTGACTGGATCAAGAATCCGACCTCACATATTCTCCTTGTCGTCAGTGAACCGTGTTTTGTCCAAGTTGTCGCTCAGCAGCTGTCTTTGTCTCTTTGTCTCTTCCTGCTTCAGTTGATCACACAGGTGAGTGGGGGGGGGCTCAACCCACCTGATAAATCTTTACTGTCTGTAAATAAACAGGGCCACACACTGCCCCCTGCTGGTCATGCATTATATATTGCATCTCTCAGACGTATAGCTTTAATTATGTCAGGCAGCCACGACACACAGAATATCTCTATAGTCCTGTTACACTGTATACATTCTGTTATATTCTATATTATTGTCTTGTGTTTATATTGTAGCCTAACTGATTTATTATTATAGTATTATTCTTTAAAAGTTGGGGCCTGGCAATAAAACAAGATCAATAATTATTGCAATAAAATGTCCATCAACAGCAACACAACATGGGGACGAGTGTCAGGTTCGGAGGTGCGTGGGGAGGGAACAAACGTGGTAGGAAAGAAGGGAAGGACCAAAACTAAATATGGTTTAACAAAAGGTGTCTTTTATTTAAAAAGGTAAACAAAAGGAATCTTCAAGAAACAAAAGTCACACTCAAAAACAGGAGTGGAACAAGGAAGGACAGGAAGCTACTTACGGGGAAACTTGACGAGAGCGGACGGGACACATGAACAGGACACGACCAGAACCGACAATCACATGAGGGAACACAAAGACTTAAATACACACTTGAACTAATGAGTCACTGGGGACAGGTGGCACAAGACACACAGGTGAACCTGATGAGGGCAGGAAGTCAAAGGGGGAAAACACACAGGGAGCAAGGACTACAAAATAAAACAGGARACACTGAACAAACTTATCAACGAGAACAAAATACAATAACCAAGACAGGGATGAACACGGGAGAGGCACAGGAGGGAACATGAGAGGAACATGAGAGGAACATGAGAGGAACATGAGAGGAACA